CAGAAAATTGTGACTACATTAAGAAAAGATGTCAAAAGACAAACAAAAGGTTTGTGTCTTCTACCATTCACTGTCCCTGGAATACTTTTCCTCTGCAACACAACATACAAATTATTATCTACATGACAATTTAATCAGCAGAGAAGACCATAATCAGATTTTAATGTGCTCTTACAGTGCCCATTGAGAAATCCATGACCATCGAGGCGAGGAGGTCTTAAACAGTAAAATACTCAATTCACAATGCATACTTTATTTAAATTTGTTTTCTGGTTCACCTTCAAGTTTAGTGCATAAATTATTGTAAGACTGAAAAGTCCTGTAAACTTGGGTTGATTTTTTGTAGCTGGTATATAACTGCTCATTGCAGACCATGTATGTCTTGGTAACTAAAATGTTCTGGAGGGTGCTGCAGGTAGACGTTTAAACGGTGGTATCTCCAAAGTCCTTGTTCCAACGTATGTATGCTTCTAAGTTTTGAGGACTCACGCTGCGTTTTATTTTCTTTAGGGATTCAGTAAAATCAGATAATCGAATATTTCTCATCTAGATTTAAAAAAATAAAGGCAATACAAATTATCAACTCATACACAGTCGTAATCCAACAATGTGCAAAAGAAATCATGCTGCTGTTTATTAATATAGTACTATACATAAGTGTATTCTTATGATGAAAACCACTTAAATATATTTTATATATTAGTATACATCAGATAAGTTCACAATCTAAGTAAGCAAGAATGCTTTCTGAAGTTCTAAAAGTATGTTGAAAGGATTCATCTCTATTTAAAATCAGATTTCACTGACCAATTTTGACTCTTTAAGTATGAAAATATGTGTATTTGGTTATGGATATGGTAGTCAGTTCTGATTTATGTATCTCCCAATATTTCCTACCTTTTGTAATTCCCTAATCCCTTACACTTGAGTGTAGGCTAGACCTAGTGATTAGCTTCTAATCAAGAATAATCAGCAGAAGTGATACGTTGTCAATTCTAAGACTTGTTTATAAAAACTAGGATGTCCATCTTTCTGCTTTTTCTCTTGCCTTCTCAGTTTGCTTCTTTTGATGAAGCAAACTGCCATGTTGGAGAGGCTTATTTGACAAGGAACTGAGGGCATCTCCATGCAGCTGCCAATGACAACGGAGGCCTTCAGTCCAACAATCAATGATCCTATGAGTGAGACTGAGAGCAAATCCTCCATCAACTGAGCCTTGACATCACTAGCGTGATACTATTGAAGCAGAGAGACCAACTAATAAGCTGTGTTAGGATTCTTGACACAGAAACTTTGAAATAATAAATGTGTATGGGACATTTAAATAGATTTGGAATTTGAAAACTACTGGTTGGAATACATTTGCTATTTGTTTATTTAACTACTGTTGCTGACCACAGTCCTGCTATGTCCCTTATTGCATATGACCTTTCCAAGGGACAAATTTATAGGCCCCAAAATGAGATACAACTTTAAAGCTA